AATGAAGGCCCAAATAATTTACTTTTAAAGCCAGTGGAATATAAAAATTGACTAAATGTGAAGCCATCCTTATTTTTTCCTCTCCTGTCGCTAACCTAGGCTGACAGACTGAGATAAACATAAGTAGAAATAATATATTTGAGGTTTCTTTTTGAGTAAGGGAGTCTGTGCGTGTGTGTGTGTGTGTGTGTGTGTGCGCGTGTGTCTGTGTGTGTGTGTAAAATCGTATTGCTTTGTTATGTTGCAGCCATTGATTGCCCCAGTGATGGAGCCTGGCTTTCTTTGTTGCTCTGCAGATCAGATGTGGAGTGCTGCGGTTTGCTATATTTGCCATTCATTAGCCAGCACTGAGGAGATGTCAGGGCGCATTCACAGGCAGGCCACTTGCACGATAGCGAGTGTCAAATCAATTCATTCACCTTGAACTTTGAAGATGAAAGAATAACATGTTGGAATTGGTCTGCCTCTCACCCTGCACGCCTGTTCAGAAACACTCGCGGGGGTTCACTGCTACTGTATGCATTGGTGTTGGGCAAGCAGTGTCCACATCAACTGATTAACTGAGGACATTTACAGTTTTTGTTCTAAAGCTCCACAATCAGCAACAAAGACCTGTGGACACTGGGAGGTAGATGGACAAACACGTTTCACAGGGGCTGGGACTCGCTTGGGGCTTGAGGTGTGGATTTCAACCCGATCTCACTCTCAACATATGAGGCTGTAGGTATCCCTCTAGCATCATTTCTGGACGCACTCACTGTAAGGAAGTGGAAAAGGGGATGGATGGATGGCTCAAACAAACACAGGACTTTAACACATGAGGCCACTGTTTGTGTCCAGTGTGAAACCAAAAGTAAACAATTCCTTTGAAGTAACGTACATATGTTACTTTTTAATAGCCCATTGACTTTTTGAAACATAGATCTTGTCAGAAAAGTCACTTCAAACAAGGGCAGGTGCCTTGTAGGTCTATTCATTAATCCATCCATGAATCATAAATAGGCCTTTTCCACCAACAGGGAACCGGCTCCATTCAGGTTTGCGCACCTAGTTTTGAACTGTTCAGACCATTCCCAAACTAAAAAATAGCAGGTTTTCCTAAAGTGGGCGTGTCATTTTCTACAGGTTGTTGTACATTTTGCAACATCCTCTGTTGATGACACATCCTTGATTACAACACACACAACACAGCTAAAAAATGTTTCAGTCATGTTTTTCTTTGGAAAAATATAGAAAATGTACAAAAACAGGTGAAAAGGTCAACAGATGAAAACATACTCTATTCAATAAAAAAATCTAATGATGTTCGACCAATGTTAAATCTGAGTCAGTGAGTAGATTGGTAATCCGATGGTAAGGCTCAGGACCTTTTGGTTATTCTCTGGCGCAGCAGCTTCTCCTCAAACCCTTTTAGTCTGCAGCACCTCATCACCAAAACTGAAATTAAATGAAGTGTGCCAGGGCCTGCTGCAGGGTTAGGGTTGCTGGGTGTCAACCTTTAGGCAGTGGAGTGCGCAGCTCTCACCCAATAACAATAATCAGGGTGTGAGGACGGATGAAGAGTGGTTGCGCTTCTGGTATTGTTGAACCAGGGAGGAGGGGCCAAATTTCAATGGCCAAATATTATGACAGTGAGACTTCCATGTTTTTTTCTACTATAGATCAGGTACTATATAATGATAATAATCATATGTGCAAGTATCAAACCAATACACGGACAAATGCACACAGCCCATATTCAGAAACTACCTTTAAAAAGAGCCGCCGTCAGGAATTCCATAATGTTGTGATGTAATAGCTATACAGTCATTGCCCTCAGCCTCTAATTTATTAGCCCCAAAGTGAGACCCTGCTACTTCCCAAAGCGTCCCATTTTTCCCCCAAGATAGGGAAGTCATTACCTGCCTTCTCTGACTCTGACAAAGCCATTAATCTGAGCCAGGATATCTATTTTTTAACACACATGTATCGGATCAGTAGTATGTATCAGCCGATCCAAGTATCCAAAAAGAAAAGATGGTATCAGAACATCTCTACCCAGCATGGCCTACCCGACCAACTGTCTGATGGGCTACAGTCTGTTACCTGTGGTTGGCTCGGCCGTGTGTCACACAAAAAACCGTTAGCCAGTCAGAAGAGAGGCACGTCTAACTGTCTAACTGTAAAGCTATGGTCACACATACATGAATGCAGGGAACCTGTTTCATCGTCTTTGCTATCGGTAGGTCAAAGTTCACCAAAGTTGAACTCCACACAAAGAAACGATGCATGTGACTTTGCCCAAAAGGAAGGAATCTCGGCCTGCCTGTCTGTATGTATGTTCATCTGTCCTTTTCTTGGCAACCTTCCATCCAATCGACTTCACATTTGGTAGGTGTATTTCTGAGGACCCGAGTTAGTCCAGTGCTAGCAGCAATACCAGGAGCCAAGCAATTGGCCCATTCCGAAAGGACACCACAATGCTTGATATTAAGGAGACAAAACACTACCCAAAACACCCTGTTCTTGCGAGAGCTCCTGTGTGAAGCCTGTCAGAGGAGACGTAAAACTGTACTGAGGAGTTTTTTGGTACTAAAAACACAAATATATCTTATTATGGATGTCAAAACTTCAAATAAAACATCAGAAAAGTGTAAAACATGAGACCTTTATGAAACACACAAAATGCTGATTTTGTTCCCACAGAATGTCTGGTAATTTATATCTTTAAACGATATTTCTGATTGGGGCTCTAAACAATGTCAGCGAGGATAAAAATATGACCTAACCTAAAAACCTAAATTGATCCTTGTACGTGTCATCCCTTTGTGTTTGTGCTGTCAGCAGTACAGCAGTAGCTGGTAGTACAATATATAGTTAAAAAATTAAACATTAAAAAACAGCCAGTGAAGGAGTACATATTTTCTCTCAGAAATCAAGGTCTGCATGTCTCAAACCTTCCACCAACTGAATGAAGGTAAAACAGAAATACTTTTATCTTATGGGGTACACATAACCCTATAATAAGTGGGAAGCTTTTCATATGCCAGGCCTCCATAAACTACAAACCTTTTTCCTTATGTAAACACCTCTTAAACCATTGGCTGAGGCCTCCTAAGAGAGAAACAGCCTGTTTGTCTCTCAGCAGGCCTCAGTGTGACCACCACAACACTGAAATAAATCTCTATCTTAACCAGTCATATAAAAAAAAATACTTGCTGTGCTCTAAAATAATCTGCCAATGAAGAGAGATGGTTCATTTGAAAAAGATTTATATTGGAAATAATCTCATCTCCTACTCATATTATTGTAATGAATGCACAAAAATACGGTAGTATCCATGGTGGTAAAACAACTGAATATGGACATATACTGTCTCTGTCCAGAAGATTACAGACATGGTCCTTGACTGATTTAATTTTTATTTTTACATAATATGATATGAAATAATATGTTATGACATACAGATCTGGATACATTTCCATAAATCCATAAGATACCATTGGATCTTTGCAGATACAGTTCCTTTTTGTCCAGTAATTACTATTTATATGGATGGTACCCTCAAGTATTACTAGAGCGATTTATAAATGCAAAAACACAATTTGGGGTAATGGAATGAGATGATGTGGAATGAGATGTTGCTGATGTTAAGTAAACTGTTTGAAGCATTAGAGAACATTGCAGACTATGTTAATCAAATTAGATTGATCAGTTCCAATGTAATAATTTTATATACAACAGCGATGCCTACCTTTGCTGTACATTTAGATCACAGACCTTTAACACCAACTTGACAATACCTTTATCTGCTAACTGATAACAACACTGATAAACTACAAAACCCACTATACTCCTGCAAATAAAAAGGATCTTAACTTCTATTTCTGTGAATCCAAAGTGATGCATTCTATTCCAGAGAATAAACAGGTGCGTGAACTCTGTTACAGCATATAAATTCAATCCAGTGCGGGTAAAACAAAGCTGAAATGCAAATAAAAGCTCCAACTTTACTCCCAGAAACAGAAAGAAATGAGGAGAAAAGCAGAGTTTCTCATGTTGAGGTCAGAGTACAAATTCATGTCAACAAAAGACTTCTAAGACTGATGTATGTATGTTTACTTAAAAAATCATAATCATTTATTTTATCAAATAATTAAAAAGATCACAAAATATATAAATCCGAATTAATCAAGTCATAATAAAATGCTGTTGGTCCACTCACTGTAAATTAGGCTCACAGACCAATTTCTGTCAATCAGCACATATCTACTTCTACTCTTATCCACTCTCCTGAAATAACTGTTGTAAATTGAGATATTTGTTATTTATTGGTTGCGATTCTTTTGAGAATAATTCACATTATTGATGTCAGAACGGGTTAGTGACATGGCTTGAATGGAGTGAAAGCTGAGTAAAATGTTTGTTGTTGTACTTCAGTTATTTATTACTCAAGATGCTGTTTTAGGCTCATAGTTTCTGTCAGTTTCACTAAAAACCTCACAGATTAGTTGGATTACTGTTCTGTAATGAGCTGTCGTATTTTAAAGTTTCAAGATAAAATCTAAATTCCACGTGTGTAATCCATTAAAATCTTGATTTCAACAATTCCTACACAATGTTTTTGCCATTTTCAGACAGCCCTGACACAAAGGTGCCACAACAGCTATGTATTTTGAAAACAGTACAAAATGTATTGCAGTTATATTGACGTTTTTTAAATAACAAAATCAATTAAAACACATACAATAAATAGCAAGAAAACACCACAAATTTAACTAATTAAAAAATTAGAAATTGTATGTCAGACCATAATTTATGTGCAAATTTGTCACTATCTAATTGCTGGGTTGTGGCAAATTTTGAGGCCTTAAAAAAAGGTCAAAGGTCCAAACCAAGAAAAAACTTTCTTGTAAATTAAGACCTGATCTAAATGTGTGTACTCTCAAACACCCAGACATTGTTTTATCTGGATGGTGTGCAGTGTTTGCTGAACGTCACACATATGGCGTCTCTCTTACCGTAGGTAGTCTCTCCGGCATAGGATGAGGTTGGCTTTGGTGTAGAGCGTGGAGCCCACCTCGCCCAACCTGCAGTCGCAGCAGGCGCACTTGAGGCAGTCCTCGTGCCAGTACTTATCGAGGGCCTTCAGCAGGTAGCGGTCCTTGATCTTCCGGTTGCAGCCGGCACAGCCTTTTGGCTTGGTGTCCGGCTGGACGGAGAGCATTTGTATACCTGGGAGAAGCACAGAGAGAGGCTTCAAACGCTCATCAAACAGTGGTGCACTGATGAGGCTATGTCCTCATGGTGAGACAGAAAATTCTAAGATGAAGCTACAGCAACTAATGTTATGAAGTAAAAGCACTGTTTAACATGTATGGCTTTTTTTTTTTTTTTACAGTTTTGTAAAAATAATAAAGCACCTCGGCTGAACTGTCAAAGATATCACAATAGTATCTCACTGGTTTCCATTGTGCTCTTCCATCCTTAAGCAAGAGTGGTGGTATATGGTTAATAAAACAAACAAACAATAGATAGATAGATAGATAGATAGATAGATAGATAGATAGATAGATAGATAGATACTTTATTTATCCCGAGAGAAATTCAAGCTCAATTAAAATGACACTAAAATTAAGTTAGACAAAAGTGAGAATAAACATTCAACAATCTATACTGTATTTACTACTATATTTCTAAATGATCAAAAAAGATTTTAACCTGCACTGCTAAACAGCAAATTAGGTATCATATACTGTATGTAGGCAACTGACATTTTCAACATGTTAAGAGTGAAAATAAATCTTTTTGACACTCATATGTACAAAAACACATATTGAAATATTAAACTGTGGGTCTGAAGCCATGTTATGTAAAAGGTCATGGGCAATTGCAACTGGAACAATTCTGAGAAGGTTCTGAGTACGTAGTGTGTTCATGCTACAAAAGAGAATACTCATAAAGTCAGTATGCACGTTTAAACATGTACAAAGAGCTGCAAAAAATATATGAGAGAGTATGAGAGAGCTACAAGAAGATCATAGAAAACAAACAAAAATGATTAATTTTGCAGTGGCATTTTGAGTCACATCACTGTGTGGCTGTGAAACTAGGCTACACACTAATTCTGAGCAGGTTTTGACATTGAGTGTAGTGTGTGAAGTCCAGTAAGATCACAAATCTTTAGAAGTCAAATCCTGGTCCAGTATGCAACTTCTACAAGTGTGATACACCAGTGCACTTACACTGAGAATGGACTTTACAGTGAAGTAGGAGACACCTTGTGTCCAGCAGGAAAACTTTAGAAATGAACAACATTTGCATATTCATAGATTCTGGATTTGTTTAATGAAACAGAAGGAGTGTATACAATAGTTTTTTAAGGATTTTGATGTGGAAATTATACTTTGTTTTGCAGAACAACCATCACACACACATTATTGTTCCAAGCAGACTGTTTGTATATATGTCTTAATTGTCTAGGGGTACTTTTAAAAATCTGATTTTAAGGCTGTGAGTAATGGATGTTACTATAGTCCCCGTAGAACAGCCAAGGACTGACTGTGACAAAGAAGACGTTAATGTGGGCTGTTCAGTGGTCAGCAGACTGGGCTCTGCAGTAAGATCTCTACTAACCAGCAGTAACAAAAATGTTGCGAGACCAACGAGCAGCCCACACAGACACAAAGCCACAGTTTCACATTTCTTCCAGGACACTTTTTTTTCCTCCATGTTGACCTCCTCTATGTTTGAAGGGGCGTGGCTACAGACGAGGAGCTTTGCAGCAGTGGTATTGTTTGGCCTGAGCTGACTGTGGAGAGCCTTTGTTGGCCCACTGGGGGAGAGGAGGAGAGAGGAGGGTTGGGGGCAATGTGGCTATAGCACCAGGCTGGAATTAGTATTCTCCTTCCATTCCCTGAGGAGAGGCACACCCCCACTCCCCTTTGTCCCCCATTCACCACACACACACACACACACACACACACACACACACACACAATATTTCTTAAGGTACACTTTTAGCTTTTTGAGATACTGAAACTTTCCTTTAACAATTTCAATTGAAACCCGGCTAAATACTTTACAGGTAGTTCTCAGTCTGGAAAAGACACACTTTAAAAATATATATATATATATATAATTACAAATCAAATCCAATCTGACCATTGGTAAAAGGAGGCTGTTGTGTTTCACTTTCACCTTCCTGTCTTTAATTAATGTACAGGAATTAAAAGTTGTTGTATCTCAGTGAAAATCTTGTCATCTATTAATAATGATACTGTTATTATTATTGTTTGATCTAAATATTCAAGATTCAAGAGGTTTATTGTCATATGTACAACACAGTGGTTTATACGTACAATGAAAAACTTACTTTGCCCCTAAAGTGCAATATCCAAATTACAGAAGCTGTAATGTTTTGATAAAGGTCAACTGTGTGACAAACAGCTTTATAATAGTACTGTAGCTCTGCAGAGACTCTCTGACCTACAAATCTTGTTCTTGACTTCAGATGTAAGAAAACATGTAAAAAAAAAAAAGCTAAGCTGAGCTTTCTACAATCATCGTGAATCATATCGCAATATCTGTCAAAATATGACTTTTTTTTATCACATCGTGCAGCCCTAGTTGGAAGGGACTTGACCACACAAAACTAACCTGATTTGCACTGATGGACTCAACAGCACCGCCACGATAAGTTGTAAAAAAACAAACTAGAGACCGTTAAGTAGAAAAAAGCTTTTTTGTATAATAAGTTTCAATGACAGTGAGGAAAACTCTATCTGAGTTTTATTAAATGGGCAAAAACATGCAAAACTGCCTTGGCCCTTTAATTTAAACATCTGTCCCTGCACATACAGAACATTTTTCATCACCTGCCACGCATCGTATAGGAACTAATAGATATTTAGAGAGAAATCATTCAAAGACAGTATCAAACAGGTTGCAGCAAAAGCGTCGGGGCTGTTGGTTAATTAATTGGCTGGATTTAGAGAGCGAGGCGCACGGCTGTTCGGCCGGCTGCTCTCCGCTGCGCCCGTTCAGCGGCACTGATCCGTCCAGCCTCGTTAACACTACAAAGTCCCGGCTGCTCATTACCAAACCAAAGGACGGAAGAGTTTCGAGTCTCCTTTCACTCAGCAATCAACTCGGGGGGAGAAGCAAGAAGGCAGGAATTTGACCACTCCGCTCTTCCGATTGCCGGGGTTGGAGGGGTGTGTGTGTGTGTGTGTGTGTGTGTGTGTGTGTGTGTGTGTGAGGGGGGGCTGAACAAAGCTTAATTTTCACAAATGGAAGGAAAATCACAGCTGCTCAGAGCCCTAATGATATCTGTTTTGCTTGCGCGCCGGCTCATATCCGTCCTTCCCTCCGCTTCTTCCAGGCTGCCGCTGCTGCGCGTCCCCCGGCCACATGTATCATCATCTTCAGCCCAGAGCGGATGGAGGATGGCGGAGGGATGGAGCGGAGAATATAGCCTGCTATTTGAGACCCAGCTGTTTGCCAACGAGATGCTGACATTTCACCCTATCAGTTTAATTACTGTTGCCATGGCAGCGGAGTAACGGTAAAGGCCAATAACGGATTTAACGCAGAGACGCAATTTGCCATGTATCGTTCACAAGCACATAACAGAGACTGGAGCCGCAGCACAGTGCACATATCAGCTGTATGATCACTAACATTACACCAGAGCGTATCTCCTCACTGCCTTAATGAACGGGGAGCGGTGGAACAACAGAGATAGGCTAATGGATTAGGTTAGAGATCTGGACACATCGCCTTCGACGCAGAGATGCTGGAACTTGCCGTCGAAGAGCACCATAAACACACATGAAACGTGCCATTCATACATGCCGAAGTAAACATCTTACCGAAACTTTTCTCCCTTTTCTGCATTTGTTGAACCGCTGAAGCAGCCGAAGCACCACCATGCAACCCGGAGCCGCCTGGTCCGGACAGCAGCTGTCTACAGGCAGGCTGGGATCAGGCTTTGTTAGAGGGGGGAACAATCCAGCACGGCGACCAGAGGAGGAATGAAAAGAAAAACGGGGAAACACCAGCCGACAAAACACAGGCGGAGAAAGCTAGAGAGGTGTTCGTTGCCGTCGGGCGTCACACGGCGTTGTAAGAGCACGTTTATCGACGACCGGGGAGCTGTGTGTGCGGAGAGATGCAGGCGGCGAATGACAGGACGACAAAGAGATGCTACCCCTCCGCGGCGCAGCGACCATCTAATCCTACTGGCCACCTCACAGCGGCTCCTGCTGCACGCTGCTTCCCTAATCAGCACTTTGACGCGCGACCGGGCATCGCGCACACAGAACGACAACAGGGACGGTTCCCTGAACGTTAATCCTGCTCATCCAGAACTCTCACATTTTATCCAGACATTTAAATTTCACAACATATGCAATCTAGAGTCACCTAAGCCTTGTTTTCATGATTACATTTAAACATTTAGAACATTTAAGTAGCAGCAATATTGTTGTTTGAAAATGCAAAAATGGCAAAAAAAAATAAGACAGCTCGTCTCCAGCTCACTCACCTTTCTCAACAAGTTAAGCAGAAGGCAGGACTCCAGCAGCGGATTCTACCTACAGATCCCCTTTGAGCAGAAAAAGTTCACCAAACTGGCATCGCGCGTCGCGCAGTGTTGATCTTCAGGATGAAATAATGAGCTCCACATGGATCAGGGCGTCCAGTTTGGAGGATAATACCCAGCTACAGGTGTTCATCTGCCCGCCGTGGAGCATGCAGGGAGTGTGCGGGTCTCAGGCCGGCGTCCCCATGCATGCATCAGCGACTGAGTGGCGAGAGACGAGGAGGAAAGTCAAGCTTTATTATCTCCAAACCCCAAATCCCTCACCGGTGAGACATTACACCGCCACGATAAGGTCATTCACTTATTACCAGTCGCTCCACTATAACTGAGGGCATGTATCACGTACGCGCCCCCGGAACGCCCACTTTTTCCCAACGTCCTTCAATCTTGGAGCCGCGGGTGCGCGCACACGCTCATTACATTGTTGAGACAGAAAGATAGGTTGAGTTGTTTAGGAGTGCACACACACAGGGGCTGATCTAAAGAAATATTCATGGGGTGTCCGAGGGTGACATGGAGACTTTTTAAATAAATGCGTATTGAATCACAAACAATCACATATATGAAATTTGCTTGGAAAAGCCCCCAACTGAAGATTGTTTTAACTCAAAAACATTATCGTGGCACATTACTAAAGCGCTGAAAAGAAATATCTTAAGGTGGCATTAGAAATCATCGAATAAATAGTTTATTTCCAAATCTTCTGACACTTTTTTTCAAATACATGTCTGTTTTCATTGAACCTAAGCCTATCACTAAAATGTGTCCATCACACACCATTAAATAACTTGATTAATTTAGCATGTTATTTTTAAAATTAATATAATTAATGTGTTAAATTAATAAAAGCATTTGGCACCAAACTGGAGTGGCAGCTGCAGTGTTAGGCAGTAAGCTTGTAATAACTTTCCCTAGTAACTAGTAGTGTAACTAATTAATCATTAATTTCAGTAATAATATTACAGTTACCCCACAAAATTAACTAGTTACAACCTTACCTTTGTTGTTACCCCCCCTGATTTGAAATCCAACAATCCAAACACATCCTTGGATTAATTTTTGTAATCGTGGAGGAAAAGGGTTTGGAAGATGGACACACTTTCCATTACTTAGAAAGGACACAATTACCAATTTTGTGGGGAGTAGCAGAAATGTAATATAACTAGTAGTGTGACTAATTACTGTTGGCAGGGAGTAATAAGTAATATTACCTTTAAAAAGAGAGCCAGCCCTCTAGATCAGCCCCTGCTCCCAGAGCATTGATGTCAGGACAAGTTGTTACTGGTGTTACAACAAAATGTGTGATCCATCAGATTCTGTGACCTGCAGTGATGTTTGTTAGTGTAAGAATATCAGGGCTGGCCACTGAATCTGACGGGTCACAGATTTCAGTTTAACACCTGTATAATGCTGCACATTATGAAGAATGCCTTTTCCATGTGGAATTCCTGACACCTGACTGACATCTGTCCTTCACAAATGACACCAGAGATTACACTGTGTCAGATCTCTATTTATTTATTATGTAATAGTCTATCCTATTTGTTTTTTATTTGATCTTTTCTATAGGCTACTATTATTGTCACATTATTTTCTTGTCACTTGTCACTTGTCATAGACTTATAAAGTATCTATCTATCTATCTATATACTCAGATCCTTAAACTCAGAACTCCATTTTTTTTTTTCACATTTGACCCTAATCATCTCCTGTAGAATCAAGTCATGATTTAAATCATGAGTTTATTTGAGTCATACAGTCAGATGGTTTAATGGTTGAGATTTAACTGTCAAGGTTATTAGGAGCCCCAATTAATGAACCTTAAAACAATTAGTGAGCACAAAAGAGTGGCAGTCAACCGTTCGCTCCTTCGCGTGTATTTTTGGTTACCATGATGTTTTTTACATTCAGTTCGGACTAATCTGAGAAAATAAAAAGAGTCCACCCAATATGGACAATGAAATCAATCTTTGTGGAGGTCATAGACTCCTCTTCCTCTGGCACAAGCAGGGCTCCACAGTGGCCGCCCTGACTGATTATCGCCTCTCCACACTCTTTATTTAAATAATTCCTGTAATTAAAGGACGGAATTATTCTTCGCCCTGTTATTGCGCCAGTCCGCATCAATTAGCGGCACTGTTTGGACTGTGGTGAGGCCCACGCGTTAGGGCGCCAAGCCCCCCCTCTCATGCCTCCCTATTACACACAAACTCGGTGCATGGTTCCAATACACAGCCCCGAAGTTTTTTTTAAGTTATTCCCTTAAATATTCTGGTTGGGGGTGCGGAAGGGAGGGAGGGGGGCTGTGGGAGGTGGAAACACAAGTCAATAGCTGGCATGTGGCTCCAGCCTAAAATGCAGCGATAATGAGATGGGTCATAAAATGCTCTCCGCGCCATTATGAGTGATGAGATGCATTAAAGCTGACAGGGTATTACCTGCCAGTAATTAGGTTTTGTCATGGATTGAATTATTTCAAGGCGGCCTATCTTGGTAATCATGCAATTTGCTGCAGAGTGTGTGTGAGGCTGCCACCTCTCTCCCGGTGCCCTTCCACCCCCCTCACTCGCTGCGTTCCGTCAGTTATTCATCCTCCCCGTGAATGGACGGAAGATGGAGACAGGAGTGAAGCAGCAGTGAAGGTGAAGGATGGTGGAGATCAAGTCTCTTACAGCCTTCATACATACAAACGGACAGAGAAGAAGCTTGTTATGTTGACCCCAACCCTCCGCCCCTGCATCTAATGAAGAAATACAGCGGGAACGTGTACCAAAAGCCGACAGCACATTCTCAACAGCAGCCGCTTAAGCACCAGACAGTCGCTGTTATGTCCCCAGCAGTTGCATGCTGGCTGTGTTTATGTCTTCCAGCGAAACTCGCTCGACACTTTACGCGCAGCCCTCGCTCTGTGGAAAGCGTTAAATTCCCAACCCAGACACACACGTACCTTGAAGTGCAGCCAGGGATGCCCAAAACAAATACTCGGGGTCGCTGCAGCGGCGTTTATCTTCTCTGCTCTCTTAACATTGAATCAAAGTGTCCACAAGGCAACTTTCTTAGAGCTCGCTCAACTCCGGCTTGTCTTACCAAAACTTGGCAAACCGGAGTTAGAGAGCAGTTCTGCTCAAGTTGTTGGGATGTCAGATCAACGTCTCTCCCCCCACCCCCCCGTGGCTCTGCGCGTCACTGGACCGGGCTCGCAGGGCGACTCTGTCCCCCTTACTGCTTCCTCACCTTCTCCCTCCCCTGTCAGTCCGTGTGTCTCTCTGGTTCTCTGGCAGAGGACAAACGGCGGAGAGTCGAGCCTTCTCTCCTATTTAAGCCCCTCCACCAGGTCCCCAGTCAGCAGCACACTCCAGCTCATCCAAGAAGCTGACAAGCACCGTTAGGGAAGGCAGCGCATGTTGCTCTAATGGACCTCATTAAGCTCTACTTACAGATGTTCTCTTAACATAATTGATCTGCAGCGAGTTGAGAGGACGGCAACCTATTCCCCAGCCCCCAATTATGGCCCGGTAATTAGATCCCCAACCTCCAGTTCTCCACATTCACCCTTCTAACATTCCGAAATATCAAAGTATCTCTTTCTCTCAAAGCGACCGCCCCCCTTTCCCCCACCCACCTCACCTCCATGTCTCCTCCTTCCTCCCCCTCCCACCCACAAGACACTATTGACAGTCAGATCTGCTAACCTTTGTAGTGTAGCCAGACTTAGCAGTGCACTCACTCCAATTGACAGAGCTCACTCACTCTTCTATTCCTCCTTTCTCTATCCTTGCCTTTTTCTATCCGCTGGGAGACAGAGAAAGAGAGTCAGAGTGAGTGGCACAGACGGAGAAAGACGAGGGGGAGAAGTAAGTTAGCACTTTCGATAAAGGGTTGTAATGATAATATCTGTCAAGGGATAATCTTTTTTTTTTCCATGGTGTCTTTTATCTTAAATAATTCCTCTGATGGCAACTTTGAGCAGAGAGGGGAGGGAGGAGGGTTACAGGGAACCGGTGAGGAGTGATTGTGCAGCTTTTATAATGTCAATCAGTGCCACTCCTATCACCCATCTAATTAGCCAGAGTGCTAAAACAGAAAGCACTTCGGGAGACGGTAATGTCACGCTTTTGCACTTTAAAAATAAGGCAATTTCACACTGACGTATAAAAAACTATTTGTGATGGGGTGTAATCAGGTATTTTCTTCTTGAGCAAGCAGTGTTGGATAAAATGTTCTTTATGTTGTCACAGATGTACTGCACATAATTCTTCTGCATGTTTGGATGCATGACCCATATTGAATGTTCCTTCCTCGGTGTGTGTGTTTCCACAACAGACACATCAGCACATGAGACTGGCACTTGTATTAGCCCGGACGACAGAGATCTTCGAGTGTGCTGATGACATCATAAAATGCATCATTTCTATTAGCAAGCACAGTTTGTTGTTTAAAGTCTGCATATAGTCCAAATTTATGTTGCGCTATACATCACCTATTATGAAAAAAAAAAAAAAGAAACGTTTCTAGTGCGCACTAGATAGTATCTAGTGCTATCTTGTGCACACTAGATCTTATCTAGTGCGCACTAGATAGGATGGAGTGTTGTGGGGAATCAGCACATGGCTCATTTAAATATTAAAATTAGCCATGTGTTAATAGGTCACAACACGAAAATGTAACCAATGAAATTACTTATTTTGACACACATTTTAAGCCAATAAGTATTAAACTAACAAGGTAATGTGTCAAAAGGCAGACTGTTTTTGTTATTTTCTCAAAAGGAGGACAAATGAGTGTCTGGCTGCAGGACAGGGCATTTAAATGCGGACTGCAACAAAAAAGGTTACAGATTAATTTACATTTATTTTTTAGTTACAGACAAATTAGTTTAATACTCATTTGAATATTAAAATTAGCCATGTGTTGATTCGCCACAATATGGATAGTATCTAGTGCGCACTAGATAATACTAGATAGGGATCTAGTGCGCACAAGATAGTATCTAGTGCTCACAAGATAGGGATCTAGTGCGCACAAGATAGTATCTAGTGCTCACAAGATAGTATCTAGTGCGCACTAGAAACGTTTCATTTTTTTTTTTTCCCCATGTCCCTTTAGGGGCTCCATAATACTCCAATATCTGTCCCAACAATACTAAAAAAGTCATCTCTTATGTATTTTCAGGTACTGTTAATGATATTTTGAGTCATTTCCTGAAAAACAATAAAACATTTTTGATGACCCTACGGTGGCCAACAAGGGCAAACGCGCCGCAAATGGCAAAACGCTGCAAACACGGGAATGATTCAAAACCAAAAACACACAAACACATAAAACAAATGCAGCAGAAAAACGCAGCAACAGAAAAATGCTGCAATCACAGAAAAGAAGCAGAAGCAAAAACATACAAACCCACAAAACAACTCCAAGAGAGTGCGCCAGGCCACTAGGGGGACCCGACCTGAGGGATGGACCAGTCCTGTGAGACCAGACCCGAAGACATGAAGAAGAAGAAGAAAGTTGGCTAAGTTTTGGAGAAGACAGTAAAAAGGTATGTTTTCCTTTATGTCTTTTTTAAACACTTGGCCGTAATCTTTTATAATATTATATTATATTATTATTATTATTATATTTTTATAATAATATAATATTAAAGAAGAATATTATTATAATAATTATAATATTCTTCTATAATATTATATTATTATTTTTATAATAATATAATATTATAAAAGATTACAGCCAAGTGTTTAAAAAAGACATAAAGGAAAACATACCTTTTTACTGTCTTCTCCAAAACTTAGCCAACTTTCTTCTTCTTCTTCTTCTTCTTCCATTTTGTCCAGTGAATTTGCAGTGTTTCTATCTGGCAGTTGTTTTAGGGTTTTGTGTGTTTTTGGTATTTGCAGCGTTTTTCTTTGGCATTTGTTTTGGGTTTGTAAGTTTTTGCTTCTGCTTCGTTTCTGTGATTGCAGCATTTTTCTGTTGCATTTGTTTTTATGTGTTTGTGTGTTTTTGGTTTTGCATCATTCCCGTGTTTGCAGCGTTTTGCCGTTTGCAGCGCGTTTGCCCTTGTCGGCCACCATATCATCCTGCACTTGGGGTGGCATATACTAATTTTGCGTCCAATAAAACATTTTCTCTCTTACGACACCCCTGGAGCGGAGTGTTTCTGAGAGTCTGTATTTTACATACATATATGGCTGGGCCTCACTGATTACTGTACAAAAGCACAACTTTATAACTTCAGTTATTTTGGTGAAACTGGATCATATTTTATGGAGAAAATATTTTCGGCTTTTCCCTCTGATTACTTTTCTGATGGACTGATAGCTTTAACTATTTGCTAAAGTAGCTAACTGCTAATCACCTGTTGCTAACGGTAGCTGCCGTTAGTGGAAAAAATAACCAAGCTCAGCAGCCGAGGTAATTTATACAGTTTCCTGATGGAAATCTTCCTCAAAAGCAGAACCACTAACTGCCGTTAGCTCAGTTAGCTGTGCAGCTAACCTAACTGAGTCAGCCCTGGGATGCCACCATCAGTCACAGAGATTGTGTCCAGTCCCAGGTCTGGCTGTGTTCACTGGAAGGTAGCTACTGACACTAGCTCATGCGTAGCAGTGTGGGTGTACGCACAACAGTACTGGCTGCTATAAATGCCAATCAATATATATAAAACCCTCCCTAGCTGCCTTTTTTTTAAAGGAAACACATAAATATGATAGATATATGTTTCATGGGAACATTAAGGTGTGTTTTTCTGCCCTTGAGGTCTAGCACTTCAGGAGGCTTGTATTTTATAGTTCTCCTGTTGTCACCACACAATCCAATCCAATCCAATCCAACTTTATTTGTTTATTTGTAAAAACAACCAAAGTTGACCAAAGTGCTGTACAGGAGAATAAATAAGACATCATAAATGTAAACCGTGATGGTGATGATGAAGACCACTGTGAGGAACATAGACAGTGATGGCGACAACACTGGAAAGTTCCCGTGGCAGACAACATGGACGAAGTCCGACAGCGACGCTCTTTCTCACAGTCGTGCCCGGCGTTACACCACCTGTTGTTTATGAGCACGGACAGTCCCCCTCCTTTCTTTATGCCGGTCGCGGTGGTGTCCCTGTCGGCTCGAACCATCTGGAAGCCGGGAATGGTGACGTTGTAGTCCGGTATCTGCTCGTGTAGCCACGTTTGTAGGGTTTAAAGCTCCTCTTCTTCATCCTCCGTTTAACCCCCCGCTCTGCAGCCTCGCCGTCTCCTCCTCAGCTCCTCCGGTATGGAGGGTCTCTCTCCAGTCAGGATGCTAGGGTGCCTCAGGGTGATCATCTGGTCGGGGGTATAAACAATGCGACTCGCCGTCGCCATGGAGACCCGTGCAGCTCTATTGATGTCCAAAAACTAATAAACTCATTAGTAAGACACACCATGTAGCACAGGGTGACTCCTTAATTACCATGAACACACACACTGTAGTTGGCTCAAGTTGGTTGTACAAATCTTTCTGCAAGAAATAGGCTAGTCACTAGAGCACCAAATGTGATATGTCATTTATTAGGGACCGAGCCAGCGACCGGCAAGGTCCCTATTGTTTTTGCTTCGTTTCTTATTATTATTTTTAGCCCCCATTGACTGCGATTTTGCCCCCCTGAACATATACGAAAAGTCAATTTTATTTGGCAAAGTGGTCAGACCTGGTGAAAATGGGGATATTAGATGTGTCGCCTTCGGGTCTGCCACTAGGTGGCGCTACTATCATAAAAAATGCATTTAGGCTAATAACTTCTGCATAGTTTGTCACGCATTCAAAAAACTTATATCCACGCGTTCGGTGAATGGAGCTGAATCTTCCTATATAGGCCCCGCCCACTTCCGCCTGTAATTTTTTTTTGTTAGAGCACGAAATGTCCTTAAAATACTTTTTCGTGTTCCTCCTACACGCTTTGTCTGATTCGCACAAAATTTTTCACCTAGCACCTGGGGACCACCCTGGCAAAAAAAGTAATTTGAACATTTTTGAAATTTCAAACAATAAACACGCTATAAAATTAGCACTTCCTTGGTATGTCCGATTGACACCAAGCTTGGGTGCATAGTTCCACATGTCTTCCTTAAGCATTGTGCACAATTTCAGGCCATTTCCACTAGGTGGCGCTCTTTAAAATGAAGAAGTTTATATCTTGA